CCTTCGTATAGTCGAGATCTTTTCACCAAGCACCACCCCCGGGACGGGCGGCGTGGGGGTGTTTCTGGGGGTGGAACTCCACCCATTTAAAGTTGCCACGGTTGAGAAACACTGGTATAGACTGTTTATGGACAACAGGCAGGCTGCTTTGATCCTTTTATCATCTGCGGAATCACAGAATTCACCAGCCATTTTCCCTATAGCCTACCTCATCATTTATCAATTGGACAACAGTGAAAGGTGTTACTGGAGCAATGAAATGGCAATTAGGATCAGGGCCATTCCTCCCACCAACTTCCACAATCCGTATGAAGCAAGAAAACTAAGAGTAGGAAAACAGTGATCTCAGTCAGAATATCTGTGGGAGAGAAGTCAAAGCTGCTTTTTCCCACCAGCAATTCTGGATGTATGCTGAGAATGGAGCAGCATGGAGTTAATGCACGCCCTGGTGCAAAAAAAGTATATTTATCAGAAGTATAGACCCTTCACCATCTAGCTCATAACTGTCTATACCAAGGATATAGAATGTTACACCAAGGATATAGAATGTCCATTGTGTGTGTACACACACACACACACACACACACCAGACAGAAAGAGAGACAGAGTTTCATTTAACATCTTTATTTCGGATTACACAGATACTCAGCATGCCGATTAGGTATAATGTTGGAATATAACTGGGGAGACACTAGTTCAAATCTCCCCCAACTTATAAAGTTCCCTGAATGCTTTGGGCTAGTCTTCATCTCTCAGCCTAACCCAGGTTATTAGGTTGATTAGAAAATAAAATGGAGGGGAAATAAAAACATATATATTATCTTCAGTAGAGGACAGAAAGGACGCGAATGAATAACAATGATATTTCAGTTTCCATATGTATTTATAACAAATGCATAACAAATTTATAACTGCAAAAAAATCCAAAGCAAGTAATATTCAAAAGAAAATCTAAATGCCCATGTCAAATCATTTAAACTAAACAAGCAATTAAAAATCAGTTACTACAAATAAAATAGAGAAAAAGAGCAGATAGCACCCCCCCCCCCAAAAGCCTAATGAGCAATGGTTTAACAGAACAGCAAGAGTGTAAGTCAGTTAAAAGTCTTGGTGAATAAAAAGGCTGTAGTCATGCCTAAATGACAGCAGCATCTGTATCACCTAACTTTGCTTGCAGAGAACAATTCCAAGAAAGGACACCATTTCTAGAAAAACACTCCTTAAAGTTCATTCTCCTGATACATAAGTACCTCTGGTAAATCTTCCACAACTGTTTGTTACAATCAAATAGAGATTTGGTTACCATGGTGCATCAACTGTTATCAACAATTGCAAGCCAGTTGTCCCAAACTCATAGCCCAGTCAATTAAAACTTTTTTTCAAAAAGGAGATTAACATCATTATATAGCTAAAAACAAGCATTACATAGCTAATATAACATAAGCTAATATAATATAGCTATATAGCACTGTATAGCTAAAAGTAAATCTGATCTACCACCAACAAAAAGATCTGGAACCAAACAAATCTTCCCCTTGAGGCAGTAGGATGCCTGAAGTTCAGCCTCCCTCTGAGCTCAGTCAGATTGCCTTAGTGCAAGGTGAGAATCACAATGGGCTCTTCCCAAGGTATACACTGGTTTATATCAATTGGTTAGTTATTTATAGATAGATAGCTATTCAGGAAAGCTTCATGAACATATTAAGCCATTGGGAGTTGAGCATGGCTCAAAGGGAACTTTACTTTTAGTCTCAACAAGTGGTGGCACCAGGCCAACGTACTCTGAGCACAGAACTTGGGAAGTTAAAAAAAAAAACACTGTAGAAGAGGATGAAGGGGAGGAGCATATTTATCAGAGCATTATGAAGGAGCTCCAATTTATGCAACAATACAACTTTCTCACTTCTTTAACATGAAGAAAATAAAGGGCTAAAAGGAAAGAGAGCTCTCTGAAAATGCAAATGAAATTGACCTTCCTCAAAATAAAAATATTCCATGCATATTACCATAAACCTTTTTTCAAAACACACCAAAAAAGTAGTAAAATGACAGTTACACAGATCCTGTTCTTGCTTTGTCCCACTCATAGGTTTAAGGGTTTTTCAACAGAGCCTATAAGAACAGAAGTCTGCCACATGCTAAAATATAATCCTTATTTCCAAAATTGTGATCAAATACAATTCATTTCCAAAAAAAAAAAAAACAACCAATGCTTTGATCATTGTAAAAAAAATGGTTGCCAACTACCATATTGCTGCATGTATCTTCAGGGGTCAAAGAAATTTGGGAATACACAAATATCAAAAGATGGAAAGAAAGGTTTAAGAAGCTAGTGAAGGAGTATACATAGGACCATGTTTGAACATAAGGGCAGCTGAAGAATGTAAAGATTCCACAACTGCATTTTCAAATTACAATAGCAAATTCAAATTACATCTCTTACTAATCATGATGATGCCTAACTAACAAAACATTAAACATAGCACCGCAATGCAAGCTCTCCCCTTTCAAATCTGCATCGTAATATCCCACACAAGTATGCAAGGGGAGGAGTTTGCATCATGATTTTACTTCAGTTTATTAAAAATATACAGTCCTAGACCAAACACAGAGAAGTTAAAAAATAGATTTACATAGCATCCAATAAAAACCTATTTATGCTTGCACTAATTACACCTGGGGAAGCAATCAGGTCCAAATCTTCTAACTGTCATAGCAAAATGGTACAAAATTCTAGAGACTTCGCAATCCTGATCATTTAATAGATAGTACACTGTGATGGAAAAGTAAGAAAATAAAGCTGGAAACTCCCCCCTCCCCCTTGCCTCTCCTGCAATCTCTTTTCTCCACTTCCTTCTGCCATTCTTTGCTCATGCAAAACAGGATCTGCTCCAAGTTATTGCATGACCATGAGTGACCATGTTCTGCTGCCAAAAACAGCCCTCTTAACAAGATCATACTGAAACAATGGGAGGCCCATCACCTGTCTGCTTAAGGGTTTGCCATGGTTCTTATCTCACAATAGAAAAACCATTTA